TCTCTCATTGTCAGTTGAAGCTGCACAGCACCTGGTCTTGAGTTATATAAAATGGGGAGTTAGCTACGGTGATGATGTAACACTGATGAGTATGCAAGCCGCCTCAGAATCGCAACTCAACGATGAATAGTAAGGGTTGGAGAGCCGACTCATACCGATCAGCAGCCAATGATTGTTGTGACACGACAATGACTGAGCTGATCGTAGGAACGCTAAAATCCGTTAAAATCTTATTATTAACTTCGGAGCCAGGAGATCCCCTTTAGAGCACCTGAGCCCAAGGCCATCTATGCATCACACTCCAGTCATTACAACTGATCACCATTGATTCGATCACAGTTACTCAGAGTAGCTTTCTCTGTGTGGTGTATCTAGACCTCCTCGACGTGCAGTGTTTGGCCTCAAGCGCGCCTTCCGAACCCGAGTTTGGCATGTACATTATGAGAGGTAGTTATGAAGCCATGAGGTAAGCTTCCAGACTGGTCGAACTAAAGAACGATTTTGCTCGTGCCTCTTTAGCCCGCCTCGATTCTAATGAAGGGGTCCGTCTGAGTATTGAACTCAGCAGAGCTGATGCCCCTAGAGGTGGGCGGTGCCGTTGTTTGGAGTCGTTGGTTTCCGCTGTCTTCCCTTGGAGCTGTTTTCCTCACAAGAGGATATTGAGCAGCTCCCATGAGCAGCTGCTCCTCAACATCGTCCCTGCTGAGGCCGGAGGACCACATGTCGTCGAGAGTACTGATGTTTGCACGTTGGTTAGAGATTTTCCCTGAGCGGTTGCAATGTAAAGTGCTTTCCCTGAGCTGTCGACTGTGAATTCGTAGGGAGAAACTTGGAGAGAAATTTGATCGCGCCGTGATGATTATGGCAAATTCTAATATTATTCTAAGCGTATTCTAAGACTCGGTCGGCACTGACCGAGAGCGTAGCACCTGTAGCGAGTAAGATGCCTAGATGCATGTAAGCTGCAGTTCGTCAATCAAGCTGAAGGTTCCTGAAATTTTCAGGCTGAAAACTGATTGCCAGGACTGAGTAAATGTCGAATCTCTTGGTATTCTAATCCATTGCGGTCAGGCAGGAGGATCCTGCCGGATCACGCGCGAACGAATTTGTGTGAAAAACTCGTGAGGACCTCACGTTTTCAACTTTTCATCGAGTTCCATCCACATAGTAGTATTTTTTGACGTATTTATTAGACCCTTGAAAGATGCGATTACTGTGAGACTCGCAGCGAGTTCCACAGTAGTACTGTGACAGTGCCCTTAGCATACTTACAAGTTTTTCGTAGCATAGTAGTTATAGTATGTTATACTTGCGAGTTATCATAGCATCACCGTTGTCGAGGAGGGTATTGCCGAACCTCTGGAAAGCAGGGAAGTCCGATCCAGGCCCGAATAGTCTGTTCACGAGATCTTCTCCAGTCTTCTAGTTGCTGACATAACCAGACTTATTCAAGAACTCAGCCATAGCTCCTTCAGCCCCCTTCTCTGGGCAACCCTTCTTCTCAAAATGAGACACCTCAGGAGTGTCAGAACCCTCTGAACTGAAGTTGATTCAAAACTGACCTGCAGCTTCGGTCAGAGCGTGGGGCATGCTTTATAGTGATCAGAGCACTATAAAGCATGCCCTCAAGTAGCAGAGCACTGTACTCTGCTTGCTCCTCAGTTGAATCTATTGGCGATGCGCTGAAAGAGGGAAGGCTTCTTCTCCTCACCCTTCTGTTGTTCAACACTGGCAGGCTTCACTATGGCTTTTTGTTTTTGCGCACTGAGAGGCTTCTTCGCTGACTTCTTCGCTGACTTCTTCGCTGACTTCTTCGCTGACTTCTTCGCTTGCAGAGCATCGATAAACTCGTCCAAATCCTGACTTGTCTCAGCCAAACTTCCTACCAGCTGTTGAGCATAAAAGGTCATGTCATGAGATCCAAGTCGTCCAACAAATCCGTTGCGGGCTCAGCAGCCACAACAGTAGAATCGTCGTCGTGATCATAAACCTCAACGTAAACATCCAAGATCGGAATAGTATTGGACTTCTTAGCCTTTCCTCCGCTGTTCCGACGCGTCCCTGATGGGCAGATCGTTCAGGACACACATTTCCCCAGGCTCGTCAGTGTAGAGAAGACGATAAGCAACACCTCCCAGTTGCTCGTGCCAAACCTCCTCGATATACCTCCCCAGCGCTCCAGAAGCTGAAAAGCGAGTTCCACGCGCACACCAAACACTTCGTCTCCTAAATGGACACAAAGCTGAAGGTTACACACTATCAAGCTACGCTATTGCTGTCGCTGACTTCGGGGGAGTTCTAGCGAATGAAGGGATGTTGTTTCTGATGAGAGTTGTTCTATCAGTTGTTTGCTAGTAGCATTCGCTCATTTTAG